TAAAATTTTATTGAGTTATATTCAATCAAGTTTCATAAAAGATTTAAGATAGCTCAGCACCTGGCACACAGCTGGACTTCATAAGTGTTTGTCTAATGAATTTGCTGAAAATGAGGTCACTAAGTGAAATAACACATCTAGAGCAGTCAGAAAAGTATCTGAGCCCTGGCTGGGTGGCTCAGTTGGTTGGAGCTTTGTCCTGTGCACCAAAAGGTTGTGGGTTTGATTGCTGGTGAGGGCACATACCTAGGCTGCAGGTTCGATGGCTGGTCAGGACAAATATGGAAGGCAACCGATCAATGTTTCTCTTTCTCTCTTCTTCCCCCTTTTCCTCTCTCTACAAAAATCAATAAAAAAACATACTCTCGGCGAGGATAAAAAATAAAGAACAGTACCTGACACAGAGTGTGTATTCTATAAACATTAGCGATTATGTACCTTTATATAGGCAGACAAAAACTGAAGCTGTTATTGAACATTTAATTTGGAAGGGAAAAACTAAGCACCTTTTATCAACGTTTCAACTTGTTCATTTACATATTACTAATACAACCACATCATTGATGAAAAAAAGAGAAAATTTAGCCCATCCATAAAGATCTCTTTACCCTGCAGCCTCGGGAAAAATAGTACAAGGAGTTATTATTAATCGTTAGACTTGGACTGAAAACACAAAACAGGCCAATCTTAAACCTGAAGTTAAATTGCTTTTTTCTAGATCTGTTTCGTCTGTCAAATGGGATAGTAGGGAGTAGAAAAAAATTATCTCTAAGGTTCTGTCCTGCTCTAACACTTACAGGGGCTTATAAACAAATTGGGAACAAAAATCCTTCAGCTTTTGACTCAGCAAGAGTTAAGATTTTATAAGTCAGTAAATGATGCATTGGATTTGGTGACAGGGTTACCAAAACAACTCTGTTGTTATTTAGCTCTGTAATTCTGGGCAAGAAGCAAACTGTCTGGATCTCAGTTTCTTCAACCTGTAAAACGAAATACTGAATACAATCTCTCTTTAAAATACATCGTAGTCATGACATTCTGTGAAGCAAGCTACCTCTGAAGGAAATATTCAGGTGTCGAATGACCCACCAGCTAAGAGATGTCCAGAAGATTTCAGTATAAACCAAAAGTAGAGAATATCATAATTAGAAGAACCTTACAAGTCTATGACTCACACAACTAAGACCGATATATTCTTGGAAGAGGTCACCCAACCATTCCAGTAATGAGAAACCCATGGAAACAAGCCACTTTATCCCCGGCCAACTAGGATGCCTAAGTTCTTTTACTCAAGCCACACCATCCGTTAGTAACTTCCACCTACTAGTTTTACTATTTCAACAATGGGCACCTCAAATATTTGCCGGTAGATAATACACCCCTTAAAAATCCTCTCCAAAATGAAAACCCCAACTCTTCAACCTTTCCTAGCATAACACCAAGACTCTCTCCGCATCCAGCCTACCTTCCTCAGAGAAACCTCTGTTCTTGCTTACTGTTAAAATTACTCGAATCACCATTCCCATTCTAACATCCTGACTCCTTGTGGATCCCAAGATTTCCCACTTGTCCAGCTGACACCACACTGAAGTCCCTGATGGCCCTAGCCACCTCCGCCCAAGGAAGCATTCGAGGTGGGCTGTGTGCCCCTGCAGCTCCTTCGGGAGATACAGAGACAAGTAGTGAACGCGGCTGCAAGAGAGTGGCTCGCACCCGGCTCTCCTCCCCGTTCCAAACCTCCTCCCTCACCGGTATTGCTTGGGGTCGCTAGGAGACTTGACGATCTCAGGGTCTCCGGCATTACTGATAGACCCCCTCCGTCCCTCCTCCTCAGATTCATCTACTCCTAGACGGGCAACCCGGCCGCTCTCGCCAGAATCCTGTCCACTGGGCTGCAGGTCAGGGCAGCTGCAGGTAGACTTCGCCTTGTTCCTTCCAGGCATGGTCGGAGTAGGAAAGGATCTGACAGCAGTCGAGTCTTCGCACCGACCCCGCGCTTCGATTCTCCACAGCGCCGCGAGCTCCCGCCCGGCCTCACGCCACAAGTTCCTCCCGGTGGCCCTGACTGCAGCAACCGTGACTCTCCTCAGCATTCACCACCAAGCCGGAGTAATGGGCATCCCGCTCCCCAGGGCCCACCTCCTCCTCCTACTCCTCCAGCTGCTTCTCCTCCTCCGCGTTCCAGAGGCGGTGGCGGCCGGCGCTGGTGCTGCCGCAGCCGCCCAGGAGGACAGGCCTGCACCCCTCCCCCAGTCCGGTCTCCCTCACGCCAACCTCCCTCATTACCCGTCCCCCGCCCTCCAGCCGCCGATGACGCTACTGGTTCTACCCAATAAAGAGGCAAGATAGGAGTCACGCGCACGTGAGCAACCAATGGAAACGGAGAATAGAAGGAACCAAAGAGACCCGGTCAGATTCTCCGACACTGAGAGGGCTCTTCGAAACCCAGGGTGGGCGGGGCGAGGAGGAAGAGGCGGAGAGAGCAGCGCGGAGGACGTCGGGAGGAGGGCGTCTCGGTAGCAGCGCCGCGTTTATGACGTAGGCGGAAAGTTGGTTTGCGGCAGCTACCGAGTGGTGCCCCGCGACTCAAAGAAAAATATTACCCTGATGAGGAAACCGAGAAGCTGGTAAAAAAAAGAATCCGCAAGTCTCTTCCCCCGTTCAAATCATATTTTGCGCATCCTGCCCCTCAGGTTCGGGGCGGTGCCTTCGGCCCTGACTTAACACGTAAAAAAGCGGAGCGCCGGAAGTGTTTTTCTTCGCCGCGGTATCGAAACTGCACTGGTGTGGAGCCGACGTGAGCGGAGCTGAAAGCCGGAGATAGGCCTTGCACTGCCCCACCTTATCTCTGGCCACCTTTTGGTGGTATTCGCCCTCAAGGCCCAAAAAGGTGCTTAAGAGACCGGTGTGGGTGTGCTCACTCTTCTAAGCGAAACAGTTTTTAGCTTCCCCACTGGCTAGAGTCCACTGTTAGAATTCAGCCCGCATTTATTGAGGAGCTACAGCTGGTGGAGGCTGCTGACCTCAGGTCCCGTTTTCCAAAGTTATTTTCTGCTTGTAATGGCCTTCACTGGACAATTTATCTAACGTGACTGGAACAGACATTCTTGAAAAGTTAAAAACAACTGACATGTTAATAAGATACGATATACTGACACAGAAAGGAGTAAATATAAATGAATGAATGGAGAAACATTTGGAGCAGGGAGATGTGTTGATGGCTGTTGTAAGTTAAGTTTGTTTCGGCTTCCCGATTTCCACAAACACGGAATAAAATGATGAACAAAACAGAAATCCTTGCCTTCATGGAACTTGCATTCTAATTGGGAAAAACGATAAAATAAATGATGTATTTTTAAAAGAACGACAAGGAGTTGGGAAGGAGAAGCGCAACGATTCAGGCAGAAAATGATGAAAAACTAGGGCAGCAGATGAGGTAAATTAATTGAAAAATATTGTTCAAATATGTCACTTTATTTTCAGTCAGTAATGTTTGTTGAATAAATATCCGAAGTGATGTCTATTTTGAGGGGGTTTTTTTCTCTTAACTCTCCAAAGCAATGATGTCATAAGTAAGAAATCTTCTAATTCAGCCAGTAATTAGAATTTTCTAACTAGAAACAAAGAGAGGCCACATCCTACAGTGTGAATTGTTCCTTTTTCCCTTTAAAAGAGGCCCCTGAATCTTACAGGTCACCAGACTGTAGAAATATGGTAACACTATAGTGAGGCATTCCTTTATTCATTCAACTAACAAATTGAGCTAGTGTGTGTCAGACGCTGGGAACAGAGTAATGAACAAGAAATCTATGTGTTCTCTTTTAAGCTTACAAGAGAACTAGTGAGATATTAAACAGGCACACAACTTTTTAAATTTGTTGTGACTAGTTCTAGAAGAAGAAATACAGAGGGACCTGGTCCGGTCAGAGAGTTTTCACAAATGAGACAGTTAAGCTTACATTTGAAAAATGTATAGGAATTGGTATAGGAATAGACTTGTTCAAAAGGTCTGAGAAAAGTGAATATGACTGAACTGTAGTAATCTGGGAGCAAAGGAAAGTGAGTTAATGGCCAAGGGTCATATAGAACCTTCTAGAATAATGTCTGGCACATTGTATGTACTTGGTAAATAATGGTTGAACAAATGAAACAGGAAGAAATGATCACATGTTTTTGCAAGTAGATCACTCCGGTTGATGTGTGAAAAATAGTTTGAATGGGGAGAGGGCAAGAAAAGGGCTGGAGGACCAAGTTTTGAGGAGCTTATAGAAGAGGAAGAACTCCCAAAAAAGACTGAGAAGCAACTACCAGAACAGTAAGACAAAAATCAGAAAAATGTAATTTCAGGAAAAATACTTCTGATGGTTGGCTCATTGTAATTCTGACCACATAGCAAATGTCCAAAGTATTAGATTAGATGTATAAAATATGAGAACTGGCAGAGATCACAGAAGTACTTTAACCTGGCCATTTCAGATATAAAGAAAAATAACCTACCCAGAGAGATGTAACTTACAAGTGGCCGGCAGCACAGCTAGGACTTCCAAACCAAAAGTATTGTTTTCCCATTGAAAATAATTTAGAAATTTACCACCTTCCATTTGAGTATTCATAATTATTGTAAAAAATACTCATCAGAGAAAACATAAATTAAGCTATTACCATTTTATAGGAAATGGACACATTAGAAATTTTAAAAGACCTTGATATCCCCAAGAAAGTTGAGGAGTACAGAGTATAATTTTTGACCTCATTTACCCATGCTCTCACAGTATTTAAGTGCTTTTTTCTGTCTTCAGCCATCCTATACTATTTTCCATTTTTATGTTAAGGATTCCCCTCCCATCAGGTTTGGTGACCCTTCTCTGCCTATTATTCTGATGAGAGGTCAGAAATAATGAAAAGTAAAAATATCTCATTTCTATGTTTGATGCCTACCTCTGAAAGTTATTTTAGTCAATGCAATGGCTGTCTACCTCCCAGAAGGACAGATCTGAGCCTTACGCCTAAAAATTTAAAGTTAAATTATTTTATTAGCCCCATTATCCACCTTTATATTTAGAATCAGGATAAGCCAGAAGTGTGAAATGTTGATTCTAGGTTGAGTAGATTGGGGGTGCTATGAGCCCGTTAAAGTCAAGCCCGATGAAGTGGTTGGCTGAAGGAAGAGGCTGCTAAACGTGGGAGGAGAGGCACTGAAAGAGGAGATAGGTAACAAGAGAAATATTGTCTACTTTACAATTCTGTCCTGGACCCACGCTCTAAGAAATTATACCTTTGGAGCTCCAGTAATTAAGTGTCCTGCCCACTAATTGCTCTCCATATTTGGTAGCTTTGTATCTAGGTCAAGAAGCAGGCATGTTCTTATAGAGGCTTCTCTTAGAAGACCAAAGTGTGAACAGCAGACCAAGGAGTTTGTATGAGCATAAAATAGTTTTCTTCTATACTATAAACATAGTTCTAGGAAGAATTTGGTATTCAGACTTCAAGATAAATTAGGAGTTACTATAAAGAATACTTTATGTCAAATGAAAAGTTATTCTATCACAAATCTAAGTGCTCTCATCTCTAAAGATACAGATTTTGAGGCTGTCTGGAAGGGAGAATGCAAAGACACAGTGATATTTAAAATATCACTTAATCAGAAATCAGATCATATTATTCCTTTTAAAACCTCCCAGTGGCTTTTCTTTGCAGTTTGAATAAAGTCTAGCTGCTTGCCATAGCCTGTAAGGCTCACTTACGAGTTCTGCTCTTCTTCTATGTTTACAGTCTCATCTACCATTCTGCCCTTTGCTCCATTCACACTGGCTTTCTTGATGCCCTTCAATATACTAGGGTGATTCCTGCCTTTAGGGCCATTACATCTGCTCATCTGCCTCCACCCTCCATTTTCTTTTTGAAATGTGATTTTGCATCACTAGCTCCTGCTTACAAGTTATATGTCAGCTCAAATGTCACCTCTTTTTTTTTTTTTTAAATATATCTTTATTGATTTCAGAGAGAGGAAAGGAGAGGGAGAGAGAGATAGAAACATCAATGATGAGAGAGTCATTGATCAGCTGCAGCCCGCAACCCGGGCATGTGCCTTGACCGGGAATCGAACCCTGATCGCCTGGATCCTAGGTCGATGCTTAACGGCTGAGCCACGCCCTGCCGGGCTCAAATGTCACCTCTTAAGAGAAACCTCATCTTACCATTCTACCTAAATTAATACTCATTATCTGAAGTTATGTGATTTATTTGTCTATTGGCTGATTGTCTATATAGCCTCTCTATTTTATAAGATCCATTGAAGAGTTGATACTTTGTCTTGTTCCCCATCATCAAAAATAGTGCCTGGCACATAGTGGGTTCTCACTAAATGTTGAATTAATGAAAAAATGATGCAGGAAAAAGAGGTCACTAGGGAGGCAAGAGAGAGGGATTAGCCTTAAATTAGAAAGGAACACCTCTGTCATTGGGCCTGGAGGGAAAGAGGCGCAGATTGGAGCAGGAGCTGCAAAGATTTTAAGTGGTGTTAGAAGGAAGGAAGGGGCAGGAATTTAAGAGTTTCTGTCTGACAGCCCCCAGCCTCCATTTTCTTTTTGAAATGTGATACAAAGTCAATGCTGGGAATGAGGGGATAGGTAGTGATGGGGCTGCTTCCATGGAATCAGATATTTGCTGTTTGTTTGTTTGTTTGTTTGTTTGTTTGTTTGTTTAAATTCCACCCATCTTGAAGCCAAGTTCAGTTGGTAGTTTCCGTTTCCTGAGTAACTATAGTACTGTGGGCCAAGGATTTTATTTATATTAACTCATTTAGCCTTTACAACAACATAAGTCTGTTATTCACCAGTTTACAGATGAAGAAACTGAAGTTTGAAGAGGTTTTTAAAACGTGCACAAAATCACACAAGAAAGCAGGAGAGCCAAAAGTGCAATTCATGTAAGTTTAATTCCAAAGATTTTACTATTTTGCCTCTTACATGTTGCCTGTCAAATACCTAGAATAAACAGACTTCTAATTTATTAACTTAATCATTGTTATTTCCTGTTGTGATTAACCCCCAGTCTAGTTTTTAAATGCAATATGCAAAGTAACAAATGTCATAACTTACATATCTCAAAAGGACAGTTCATAACTATCATTAAGAAAGCATCTGGGCCCAGCTGGGCGTGGCTCAGCAGCAGTTGAGCGTTGACCTAGGATCCAGGCGATCAGGGTTCGATTCCCGGTCAGGGCACATGCCCAGGTTGCGGGCTGCAGCCAATCAATGACTCTCTCATCATTGATGTTTTTATCTCTCTCTTTCTCCCTCTCCCTTCCTCTCTCTGAAATCAATAAAGATATATTTTTAAAATAAAAAATAA